GGAGGATAACAGAGGAGGCAGGAGGCAGGAGGCAGGAGGCAGGCAGGAGGAGCAGGAGGCGGGAGGAGGAGGAGGCGGGAGGAGGAGGAGGAGGAGGAGGAGGAGGAGGAGGAGGAGGAGGAGGAGGAGGAGGAGGAGTGGACAGGAGTCAGGAGGAGGAGGAGGAGGAGCAGCAGGACGGATTAGCGGGTGACCAGGGGCTGCCTCGTCGCCAGGCTTTCGAGCCGAACTTGATGCGGCTCTTCAAGGCCGCCCTCCACAGGAGAGAGACCAAGGACGCGGCTCCAGCCCAACGACCAGGTCAGAGGAGGAGGAGGAGGAGGAGGAGGAGGAGGAGGAGGAGGGTGATGGTGGTTATGATGAGGCTCTGGCAGCTTATCCGGGCTTTCTGCCGATTTTCGGCGGTTTCTGGCGGTCGGTGCAGGAGGAGAGGGCGTTTGGGGAATCGCACGCTGTCCTCCTGCCCCACTTCCTCTCCCTTCTCTCACTTCCTTACCTTCCTCCTCCTCCTCCTGCTCTTCACCCTCCTCCACCCCTTTCCTGGCGATGTTCCTCCTTATGAGGGCACAGGAATGAAGATGAATGGTAAGGAGGACGTTGGTTGGGGCTGGGGTGTGGTGGTGTGGTGTGGAGGATGAGGTGGAAGAGCAGGAGAGGAAGGCGGATGGGATGAGCTGGATGAACATGGCGATGAGTGTGAGTATGTGGATGAGGCTAGTGAGTTGAATGCGAGTGCGAGTATGAATAGGAGTATCTCCGTCGGTATCAGTGTGGGTACGAGCATGTTTGTAAGTTTAGGGAGGACGAAAACGGGGTAGTTGGGGATGAGGAGGAAGATATAGAGGAAGAGGGAGGGGAAAAGTTGAGGAGGCGGAGGGGTTGGAGGAAGATGGGGAGGCTCAGGAGGCATAAGTCGAGGATGATGGTAATGAGTGAGAGGGAGGATTGAGAGGTTAGGGAGAAGGCAAAGGAGGAGTCAATGACGTACGCCGTAGATCTGTAGCTATGTCGCATACTTTGGCGCACTGTTCTGGGCATCCTGTTGCACAGCTCCTCTATGCCGGACCACGCCCTTGACGCAACATGGGCTTACACCAGGGCTCACAGTTGCAGTACTGCCGCAGTCGGACCACAGACCCTCAATTCGAGAAAATGGGGTTTTGGTGTTGGAGCCCAGGTCGAGCCCAGGTGGAGCCCAGGTGGTTGCGCGTCTGACTCTCCACGCTTTTCTCACCAGCCCGCGGGCACATGCCTGTAAGATGTTCGAGCAAGTCTGAGTTCTGAGCGGCCGGTCTTCTCTGGCCCCCGCCTCTGCCCCCCGCGCCCCCCGCGCTCCGTCGCTTCCCCGTGCCCAGCCCCTGCCCCCCCTGCGGCTTCCCTGTCTGGCCGCTGGCCGCTGCTGCTCGCCCGTCCACCCATCCCTCGCCCCGCCTCTGTGCCCCGTTGCCCTGCCGTGCTCGTGGACACCTCCCGTTTGTCCGTCTTGTTGTACCCGCTTGCGTGTCGTATTGCCTATCCCTGCTCTGTCTTCCAACCGAAGGTCTTCCCACTACGGGCTTCAGGCATCGCAGAAAGATACCTGGCGCGCCCACCATTAGCCATGTCTTGCTCAAGGCGCATGGGCGCAATGCAAAGCATGTTGCGACAACGCAATGCATAGGATAGCATTGCCTGCCACATCATAGTATAGCAGCCTGGCGTGCTGGCATCGCATAGCGCAACATTGCATACTATTGCACAGCGTAGCATCGCGTAGCACGGCATAGTATCCTCTCTACCTCACACCCTCTTTCATACATGCGAGTTTTCGTTGGCCGCTGAAGCTTCATGCGATTCATGTACACACTCACCGTGTGCTGTGCAATCTCTCTTGCCGTGGATCTCTACAGGAGCTCGGCGATCATTCTCGCTGCGAGAGGGAGGAGGGACGAGAGAGGAGGGAGGGATGGCTGCTGGAAGGACTCTGTCGGGGAGTACTTGCTCAGAAAGATCGTGCCTACGTGGAAAGACAACTGCTGGTGGCCGCCCCGAGCGCACCTCCGCGCGCCTGTGGCTTTTGACCCCGCAGGAAGTGGTGACAAGGAGAGACGCGGGGGAGATGCACAGGAGAGGATCCTGGGAGGAGGAGGAGGAGGAGGAGGAGGAGGAGGAGGAGGAGGTGCGCACTGCCCGTGGAGGGAAGAGGTCCAGGGGGGGAGAGAGGAAAACCGGGGCGGGGCCGCCCCTCCGAGAGGACCTTTGGCAGGCCTGCGGTGAGGCTCCATCCCCCACGGCGAGGGCCCCCGACAGGACGACCCCGCCCCCCCCATCGCTTGGCCGACGCCCTCATCGGGCCTCAGCCCGCCGAGCCCTCTTGTGGACGCAGCTTCGGCCCCGGCCAGCAGAACTCTGGACCCCAGGGCTTCAGCTTGCGACCGCTGTTCAAACCCAACAGTTTTCAACCGAGGGAGGAACAAAAAACCACCCGGACCCGAGAATTGGCGTTTACTAAACAGCCCGGCCTTGTTCCATTCCTTCTGTGGGTGCGTTTACTAAACGGCTTCGCGTGTCGGGGTGACTATTCGGGGGGTGGATTTTCGGCCCTCTAGTTAAACAGGCCTGAAGGTCCAAGCGCGGGGCGGCCCCTGGCCGCGAAAAAGGTGGCAGCCGACAGGGCCTGGCTTCAGGCCCCTCCCCGTCCAGTCCAACATGCGCGGACTAGCGCGCACGGGGGTGCCTCGGAGGGTGTCCTGGGCTCCTCCAGAGCCGCAGAGGGGTCCGAAGGGTGGATCCTGTTTCTGAGGCGTCTCCGAGCCGTCCAGAGAGGGCCCCCTTGTCAGCTTCTTGGGGCATCGGCACGGCTTGCACAACACTTGCTGCTGTGTGTCGGCGGCGGATTGGTGGCAGGACGAGCAAAGCAACAGCGGCTCCTTGCCAGGGACACCGCTTCCAGAACCGCATGATCCAGGATCCTCCTCCTCAGCCTCCTCCTCCTCCTCCTCCTCCTCCTCCTCCTCGCGCCTTGTCCTCCTCTTGGCCGCCGCCGTCGTCTCTGCCTGGCGTTGTGTTTCACAGCAGTGCCGTCGGAAGTGTGCAACCGACGGCTGTTTCAAATTTTCCAATGCACCTATGATGTGCACGGCGTCTTCTTCTTCTTCTCCTGTTTCCAGGGGCTGGAGGGGCCCATGGCGAGTTTGTAGCACCCCCACCTCTCTAATGAGATGTTGGACCCCCAGGCGGTGAGAAAGAGGGAGGGGGGCAGCCAAACATTTCACACGTGGATTCACCCTCGGCAAGTGGGGGATCAGCGGACACAACACAGTGTCCATGTGCAACTTGTTCGAGCAGGAGTATCGAAGAGGGCAGTGCCATGATGTCTCTGCTCACGCTCGAGCGAATCCTTGTCCGTTTTTGGGGGCCCAGCTTTTCGGATACGCTTCCCAATGCTGCATCCCAACTTGCTCGGTGCCCCAGCCCGCACCGTTGCCCATCGTGTCCTGCGTGCCCTGCCACGCACCCGTGCCCGGCGTGCCCGGCTTGCCCAGCCTGCCCCGGGGCGTGCGGCGCCAGCTTCTGTCCTCCAGGAGTGCCTCCTCCTCCTCCGCCTCCGCCTCCGCCCCCTCCTCCTCCTCCTCCTCCTCCTCCTCCTCCTCCTCCTCTGGCCCACGAGGCTCGTGAGCCCGAGCTGGCGCCCACGCGGCTCCCCTTTGAGTGCCTGCTCCTCCCCGGCACGTGTTGCTCTGCCCGCGGTGCCGCCGCCGGGTGCTTCGCGGGACGCGTCCTCATATGAGTCGGAACGCCCCCTGCGCAAGGCGAGACCTCGCTTCAGAATGACGGGGAGGAGGAGGAGGAGGAGGAGGTGGAGGAGGAGGTGGAGGAGCAGGAGGAGCAGGAGGAAGAGGGGGGGGGAGGGGGAGGGGGAGGAGGGCCCTGAGGGGGGAGAGAAGGAGAAGGAAGATGAGGAGAAGGTGGAGGACGAGGAGTGGGTGGAAGAGAAGGAGGAAACGGAGTGAAGCCTTTTGTCGCTCGACTTTCGAGCGTCGGATAGCGACAGTACCTCGGCAGAAGTGCTCACCCGACGATCAGGAAAGTGGCACAGGTCACGGGGACCAATGAGGCCAGGAACACATCGCGGTCAGCGCTGGCAGCGAGGTGGTGTTTCAGCGGCAGCAGGAATCCAGGACCATGAAGATGGTGAAGTCCTTATTCGTACGATATTCGCATCGGCGGCGCGATGTATGGGGACGTGGCAGCGCAACGAGGTCCCCGCAGCGATGACAGGCTGGAGTCACTTGTGCAACGAGGCTGTGTTGTGGGATAGCGAGCCTCTGGAAGCCAGCAGCTTGAGGTGTGAACTGTTTTGCCTTCGCAGTAGAAACGTGTGGCCGTATATTTTCAACCAGTTTTGAATTCGATGTTCTTCGGAGTTACATGGGATGAATACGGACAGCTTCCTTACCACGTGCGAGAGAAAACTTTAGCGCAGAATGAACGAACCTTCCAGGACGATGGTCGTGTCTACAGGCTCGGCAGTAGCAACGACCACTATCCACAGCGCCCGCGACGATTTTGCGCGCAGGGCAGGAAGGGCAACGACACGTCCCATCATATCCCCAGCGCAAGTCAGGACGCGTGGCAGCACTGGCACCATGGAGGCACGATCCCCCGCTCTTCGATCGCCGCCATCCTGCTGCCCCTCCTGGGGATGAGGAGAGTGTTTTAGAGGACCCTGAGACCCGACGTCGTCTAGAAGCTCCGACCGGAGCTGTCGATTCCATGTGCCCATGTGCCTGTGCCATTTCATCGATGCTCGCGTGGACAACTCTGCCTGTGCCTGTGCCTGTGCCTCGCGTGACAACAATGCATGCTCGCCTGGACATTTCATCGATGCTCGATGCTCGCTGTCGATTCCATGTGCCTGTGCCCTGGACAACTCTTTGGCGTGTGGAAAAGTCGCGGCGGAGCGATTGCCCCCCCTTTCTGCTGTCTCGTTGCCGTGTCCAGCTGCAGGGCGGCTGGCGATGGCCCTGGCGAATTCCCATCTCGCGCGCGCCCGGGCTTTGCGGCGGTGCAGGTGTCCGCCCTGTGTGGGGGATTCGCCTGGTCGCTCCGCCCGCGTGGCGCGTTTTGCCGCCCACCTGGCCCTTCCGCGTGGAGGAGGACGAGGAGGAGGAGGAGGAGGAGGAGGAGGAGGAGGAGGAGGAGGAGGAGAAGGAGGAGGAGGAGGAGGAGGAGGAAACACCCTCTCGGCCTCCTTATCCTTCTCTCATCCCCCCTCTCCTCCCCCTCCATGATCCCCCCCTGCCCCTCCCTTTGCGCGCCGTCCGCCAGGTTCCCCTCGAAGCTGCCCTTGCTGACGAAGCTGCTGACCCACAAGGTGTCCAAGCTTGGCGAGGAGGAGCCGAAGGCCCCCCACTTACCCCCTGTTGTCGCCACTAGCCCGGGCCTGCACGCGCTGCAGGGGACAACGCGTAGTGTGTCTTGTAGTGTGTGTGTGTGTGTTATGTGTGTTTGGGATGGATGGGGGTGCATTTCAGCCTCCAGGGGCCGTCTGCGGGTCCTGGCCCCAGGGATTGGGCCAAGAGTTCCGGGGGCCCGCGGCGTGAGATTTACGCCACCGAGTTGCCCCACACACCTATGCTTAAGTCCCGTGTGGTCATGTCGTGTTGCACCACGCTGTGTTCGAACTTGCCATGGGCTTGTCATCGAATGCTGCCGTGCTGTGCGCAAGATATCAAAAGTCACAACGCAGCGTTGCGTGAACCTCTCTCCTCCCCTCCTCCTGTCTTTTTTCTAAGGCGCGGCGCAGCCGTTCGACAGGAAATCTCCACGCTGCGTGCGCGGCAGAGAGGAACGCGAAGCACCCTCAGACGGAAAATCTCTGGGAGCCCCCTTCGATGGAACGTTTTTGGGAGGCGGCGACCAAGATGACGTCGCCCTCGCTCGCCTAGAGTGGCGGGGCGTTGGCGCAGACGCTTCATCGTTGCATCGACGCAGCCAATGCTATTATGAAGGATTGCTGTTCTGGCGTGAACCATTTAAACAATTATTCCGTTCCCTCTGGCCTACGGTTTTGGTTGGGACAGAAGCCCTCGGCCGTGACCTGTCGGCAGACGCCCCTGCTACAGCAGCCCGCGATGGAGTCGAGAGCTCGGGACTAGACCCAGCCTGGCACAAGGGGCATTCCTCTAGAACCCCGTTCGTTTGCTGAGAGAACGCCTGTTGTCGATGCGCAATGACGGAGGAGGAGGAAGAGGAGGAGGAGGAGGAGGAGGGGGAGGATGAGGATGAGGATGAGGATGATAATGAACATGAGAGTGAGGACGATGATGATGCGGTTGATGATGATGATGCTGCTGCGGATGATGATGTTGATGGTGATGATGATGATGCTGATGAAGATAATGCTGCTGATGATGATGTTGATGCTGCTGCTGATGACGATGATGCTGCTGCTGATGATGATGCTGATGCTTATTATTATGATGCTGATGCTGATGCTGATGATGATGATGATGATGCTGCTGATGATGATGATGATGATGAAGATGAAGATGATGATGATACTGATTATGATGATGATGCTGATGGTGATGGTGATGATGAGGATGAGGATGAGGATGATGATGATGCTGCTGCTGATGACGATGATGATGCTGATCATTATGTTGATGCTGATGATGATGATGATGGTGCTGATGATGCTCATAATGATGCTGTTGATGATGATGATGATGCTGATGATGATGCTGCTGATGATGATGATGATGACGATGTTGATGATGCAAGTGCTGCTGATTATGATGATGCTCATGCTGTGGATGATGATGATGATGATGATGATGATGATGATGATGATGATGATGTGGATGATGCTGCTGATGATGATGGTGATGATGATGCTGATGATTATGATGATGCTGATGATGCTGATGAGGATGCTGCTGCTGATGCTGATGCTGATGCTGATGCTGCTGATGATGATGATGTCGTTGATGATGATGATGATGATGATGATGATGATGGTGTTGCTGATGATGCTGATGATGATGGTGTTGCTGATGATGATGATGATGATGTTGATGCTGCTCCTTATGATGACGATGCTGATGCTGAATCTTATTATTATGATGATGTTGATGCTGCTGATGATGATTCTGATTATGATGATGCTGATGCTGATGGTGATGGTGATGATGCGGATGAGGATTAGGATGAGAATGAGGATGATGCTGCTGATGATGATGATGATGAGGATGATGATGCTGATGATGATGATGATGATGATGATGATGATGATGATGATGCTGATGATGATGATGATGATGATGATGATGATGATGATGATGATGATGCTGCGGAGGAGGAGGAGGAGGAGGAGGAGGAGGAGGAGGAGGAAGGAGGAGGAAGGAGGAGGAGGAGGAAGGAGAAGGGAGGAGGGTGTGAAAGCGAGAGTGCTGGACTGCCCAGCGTTTGCCCCTCGTCTCATCCGTATCGCTCCCTAAACATGATTGCTCCCAGGGCCCTTGAGCTTCAGGCGACACACGGAAAACATCGCGCGCCCATCTTGGCAGATATCAGAAGTCACATCTTCACATTGGTAGCGGAGCAGGTCGAGCCACGGACGACCACAGTGGATTGCCCGCTTCGACAGATTGACTGTAAGCAGAGGTGTATTTCGACTGATTTCCTGTCAGCAGAGAAACATTTCGAGAGATTGCCTGTCAGCTGTATTTCTAAGCTATGGCCCCCAAGCGGGAGCAGGCGGAGAATGAACCCAGAGACGCTGGGGAAGAGAGAGACCCCGCTGCTGCGCAGAATGGAGGTGGGCCGTTTATAAAAGCGCCATCTTTCGACCCCAAGCTGATGACGATGAAGGATTACCGCCAGAGAGTTGCAGCGTTCAGAATCCGCACACGCCTGCCCCAAGAGAAGCAGGCCGTGGAGCTGTATGCAGAGTTACAGGGTGATGCATCGGTACATGCGGAGGACCTCCACCCGCTGGGGTTACAGAGTGCAGAATGGGTCCACGTGTTGTTGTTAAATTTCCTGGCGGATAAGTTTGATGATGGGAAGGTGATGGCCAAGATGCGCCGCGAGAGCGGCGAGGAGGCTCGCAACTACATCAACCGCTTCGATTCGCTGGTCTTGAGGCTGAAGACGCTCCAGATTGAGTTCTCAGATCAGGCGCTGGCCTGGTTGCTCATGTTGTGGTTGGGTCTCCCGCCAGATAGAGAAGCTGGAGTGCACAACGCTCACCGGAATAAGTATGAGCTCAAGCCTTTGCAGAAGCAGACGCTGCTAAACGTGAAGGACGCTCGAGCACACGATAAGTTCAACTCCCGGAGGCCCGCGCCAGTATCGCTTGCCACAGGCAAAGTTGGAGTTAAACAGAGACGTCGGGGAGCTCACATGACGGAAAACGACGATGAGGATGATAATTCCGATACGTTCGAGGCATAAGTGGAGGGCGATGACCTGCCAGAGGAGTTGCTCGAGGAAGAGAACGAAGCGGAAGCTGAAGTGTAGGAGCAGGAGAAGATGTTAGCCAGGGCTAAGGATCGGCAGAAAGACGCCAAGCAGGCCAGAGGATTTCACCATAGAGATCGGCCGGCTGGAGGTAAGAGTGGCGGCAGTAAGGGCACCCATTCGGCGAGCGCTGGAGGCAAGGGGGGCTCAGACCGCATCAAGAAGCTGAAGGCGAGAACGCACTGTGCAGTATGCCAGCGGGTTGGACATTGGGAAGGAGATCCTGGATGCCCTGGGCCGCCGAAGAGGGCACGCATAACGACAGTCGACGACCGCCAGGAAGAGGATAACGGCCCCGACCAGCATTGGGCGAACTACACGAATTGGCAGAATAAGGAGCAGCAGATTGCCGAGCAGACCCTCTTCATCAGTGAAGCGATGATGACGGATGCGGTGAACGTGATAATGGCTACGAAGGAGGAGCTGCTTCAGCAGTGCGGCGGCAAGGTGCTGCCGGATTCGTGCTGCGCCAAGACGGTCGGAGGCCAAGTTTGGCACGATGACATGAAGAAGAGGCTCGCCAAGCAGGGCCTCGAGCAGATTGTGTTTGACGGCCGAGGGGTTTTCATATTCAGAGCGGGTAAACCAACTACGAGCACGATTGGAGCGTTGATGCCACTTGCGGTGCAGGGGCGCCATTTCACACTGAGGATTTCCATCGTGCCGCGTTTAGTCCCAGCGTTGCTGTCCCAACAGGCTCTTGGTCAGCTGGGCGCTATTCGTGGCCGCGAGGTGGGGGCCGGCGAGAGTGCGATGACATTCCGGAAGCTGGGGGTCGCCAGCCTCAGGCTCGGCCGGGCCAAGAAGATCGGACGTCCGAGTTTCGACGCGTCGCAGTTCGACGCGGCCCGCGCTGTCACAATGGCTCCAGACGCGAGCCCGAGCCAGACAGAGAGCAGGTTCCTTCCGCCATCGCAGCTCCGGTGGAAAGAAATCGAGAAGTGCCGGGCCCACCCTGATCAACATAGCGCTTTGGGGGCCTCCCCAGGACGCGCTCGAGATATTTCGAGCAGGCATCCCATGGGGCCACAGGGGGCCCCGAGCAAGATAGACTTCAACAAGTTCGAGAGCGACCCGGGTCGCAGCGAGATAAACTTCAACCAGTTCGAGAGCGACCCAAAACAGCGCGAGCTAAGCTTCAACGCCTACGGGGGCGATCCGAGTCACTCCGAGCGAGAATTCAACGTGCCCCAGGAGAGCCCGAACGGAAACCAGATCAGCAGCAAACAAGGCAAACAAGACGGGTACGATTTGAAACAACCAAGCGTTTGGGCGACGATGGGGCCTCCCGTATGCAGCCAAGATCGGTTCAAGCAGTCTCAGGCGATCAGCAATTTCGTCCATGTTCAGATGCTTCTCAGCGTGCTGGCACGGATTCACAGGTGGGCAGTTTCCAACGTAGATGCCAAGAAGCACTGCAACACGGCGGCGCTGGTGCCATGGAAGCAGATGTTCAAGTCAGCGTTCGCTGCGATCGCGATGACCAGGCACCCGGCAGTGGCGATCATTTTTCACAACGGTCGTCGACATGGCAAGGAAGAGATCATGGAGAGTCGATTCGAGCCGCCAGTGCCGCGCCGCCTACTTCCGCTCGAGGCCATGGTCAAGGTGGAGCTGCAGGAAGAGATGGAGAACAATGGGTTGGAGTGCCAAGGCGTGGGCTGCCGGGAGATGCAAGCGATTCTCAACGAACAGCGGATCCAGAACGGACAGAGCCGAAGGGGAGCTCGAGTGCGGGATCCGGAGCTTCGAGGTTTGGCCAAGCAAAGCAAGGCGGAGCTCATTCAGCTGGCCAAGAGGCGCAACGTCAAGGTCACCGAGGGGATGATCAAGGGCAACATCGCGTGCTTGCTGTTGGGGCAGATTCCGAAAGCAGTC